TCACAATGTATATACCTCCACATAGCCTTTGGAGCACACTCACGTGTGAATTGGTAGAGCGTATATGTCATGCGTCCTTGACAAGACCCATTGTCAGACAACTGCGCCAGAAGATGAGGCAATGCCTCAATGATGCCTCAGTCGGAGTCAGTATCCTATTTTTCTTCTCAATAAAAATGATTCGCCTCAGGCCCTTTGGGCGCACACCGTGCCCAACTGTGGCGGTTTTGAGCAGAAATCAACATATAAACTTTTTGAGAAGTCCGGAGTTCTGAGACAGACTGCACGGATTTGTGCTACATCGATCACAGAAAAAGAACTGGATTTAGGTTTTTGCCAGGATTGATGGGTTGAGTTGCAAATGCCTCGGTCTCCGGTGACGTGTGACGTTGACTTTTTCGCCGCTCATCTGCCAGATGCTGGAAGATCTATGTAGTTTTGAAGCGAATAGTGGAAGAAAAATATGATCAAGGATATCAAGGGGTTGTTGTGAAAATAGAATATAATTACTGTGAGGGTAAGTTGTGATGGCAGCTGATGGAAGATGTGTGAAGAATCAGGAAGGGTGCTTAATGGACAGCACTTCGCTACCCAGTGGTTGAACATGGTTGAACAATGAGTTTTCAATGGGAATGACTGCGAGCCCACGCTTTGTTCTCAAGAAGTAAACATAATTTGTTTCTCCAAACACATAATATTGTTCTCCAAACACATAATTTGTTTCTCCAAAAAAATGATTGTGTGCACCAAGATTGGCCAGTCTCAGCGGATTGCGGCAGTTTCGGTTTCATCGGCAGCTCAGTGCACTGTCGCAGCGCTCACTCAGAGCGCAGGGAAAGGAGATGAATGTCACAGGTGTTTTCCGATGGCCCTTTGAGGCCGTTCTTGGAACTTGAAGTGATTGAATGGTTTGAGAAATGTGAAACAGATTTTGGTCCGGCAATCTTGCAGCGAAGACATCTGTGTTCGTGCGACTAGCGGCAGACGTCCGCCTGCACTACGAGCTGCTGTGGATTCTCTAGGGAAACTCTTGGCTGGCGGAATAGGTCAAAGTATGAAGGTCGTTTCACAGTCGAAACGCAAACAAAACCGTCATGCTCCGAACTATTCACAATCATTCTGTAGGATATTCTATATACTATATATATATATACTGATACTGTCGATAATTATAGATAGCATATGCCGAAAGAGTCAAGAGACCCTTTGGGGGTCAATCAGCAATCGAGGATGGTTCGACACTGCTGCAATTTCCTGCGGCAACTCGGCGACCCTTTCACAAAGCTCTGAAAGCCTTTTTAAAGGAACTTGGAATTGGCTGGGAGCTTGAGCAGACCAGTATGGACAATGCTAAGCAAGACTCGCATGCGCGATCGGGCTCCAGAATGTAGAAGTTTGCTGCTTGAAAGGGACTCAAAGCTTCTTAGGTATTGTTTGCGCAGACGATGTATTATATAGTCAGTGGAGGAGATTGTAATTGAACATTGTTCTATGCCTGATGCATTTCAAATATTTCCTTTGCAGATGATGTCACTTCGCATTCTGGTGTCCTGTTCAATGGCACTAAGCTCGCCAAGTTTGCGTGGCTTGTTGGGTTTGGCGAAACCCGTGGAAAGCGCAGCTTGAACTATTAGCTCGAGTCAAACTTCCCATGTTGATTCCTCTAAGCTGGTTGTGCTCCTTTTCTACTTAGGAGCCTGCTCTTGATTCCCATTGCTTTGTACCTATTTCATCTTGAAAGCCTGTCATCAAGCAGTAGGCCTCCACGGGTTTCACTTGTTTGATGATGCTCCGTGGAACCTCCCAGAGAAAGACTGACTGGCCTGAGCTGTCCATTCAGTGCCACTTTGAAATAAATAGTGTGACATGTGACATGTGCTTTTCAAGGATGAAACATTCAGAGAACATGATAATTAGCAACCATTGTAAATAAATATCGTATATATAATATATAGGCATAATACCAAATGGTTTAAGATAACTTCTAACGAGGGCTTCTCCCGTGGGGATGAGGGCTGCAAAGGGGTGTGCAAACGTGCCCTTGCAAACAGACCACTTCCAACTATGCATATAGGACATCAACAATCCCCCAAAATGAGCAAAACATAGTAAGGAGGACCAGAGGATGATTTTGCCTAGAAGGACGGTTGATGAGAACAAAGTTGGTTTTGCAATTGAATGACAAGTAGGACAAGCTCAGCTGCCGGAGACTCAGCAATTTGCTGATCCCAAAGTGCTGAGTCTTTGCTTGTGCTGGCGCAAACCAAGCAGGGCCTGCAGCCAATATGGGTTACAGGGAAGTAGACTGCAGTTGTTTCCACCACAGCAGCCCGTTGTTTGGTGAGTTCGAGAGATCAGTGCGATTGTGCCCGTTGATCGGTGCCAGCAGCAACTGCCCAAAGGCTTAGCGGATGTGCAAAGAAGAACGGATGAAACCTTGGCAAGGACGGTCAGAAAATCGATGGTGACTGAGAGCTCCTAATGAGCGCGGTGACTTGATTCTCCCAGGCTCATCCCAGTAGAAACGACTGAAAGCAGACTGTGCTTGGTCGCTGAAGAGCATGCGACCCTCGAAGTCTGAGACGGGGTGAGCAGTACCCAGATGTTGCATTTACTTCATTGAGTTGGAAGTTCAAAGTTCTTAAAATATATTCTGTCGACACCATTTGCATACCCCCATACAGCCGTTGAGTGGTTAATTCTAGCAGTACAGCTGCCACTTGCAGACCATAAATTGTTACAAGCTTAAGATGACATGCGCGAGAGTGGACATCTACAAAGCATCAAATCATCAATGCGATATAGATCATGTTGTTTCGTCCCCCCCAATGCTCGCACAATCAGATTCTTGGGCCGTTTTTGCTGTGGGGAAGCTCACCCCGGACACTTGACCCATAATCGTAGGATTCAAAGCTGCACTGCAGATGGAAAGAAGTATTCAGTATTCTCTGCATGCGAACCGGGAATAGGACAAGCGGGTGAACACTTATAGAACCGTGTTAGCTTGTCTTTGGGCAGTTAAAACAAACGTGTTTTTCCGTCATTGAAAGTCCGTGCGCACGACCACCGGAGTACAGTGTTGTAAGGACGACTGACGCTCAACCGATATTATTGGCCTTTTTGACATTGCCAGATCTTGTAATGTATGATCTGGTCATGCATGTTATAGACCTATATGCTGTATAGTTACAAGTATTAGTGGCAAGAAGCTACTAGGAGCAAAGGGCATCGCTACTAGGAGCAAGGACGCTACTAGGGGCTCCTGGCCGTACTACTAGGAGCAATGTTCGCTACTAGTAACAAGAAGAGCACATGTTCCACACTGACATGTTGTGACCCCCTGTAGGCCTTTGCATGCCGCCACAGTTGAAGTCGCAAGATGAGGCACACTGATAACGGAGGGCTGAGGTTCTTGCCAGGAAGTAGTTTTAGACGATCACGGGGCACAGTTGCAGTATGTATATATATAAATTGTATTGACATTGCAATTGTCCATGGGACTAGGGGGTCACGTTACAGCTTATTCATGTGCGTCGCTCGAAATGTCAACGCCCACAACAATGCTTCGCATGAATCCTCCCACAAACGTTGCATCTGGAATGCTTCTGGTTTCAGTCCAAAAAGGCTCCTTCCTTGCGTATCTTGGTGCGAGTCCTTCAGAGCTTTGATCAAGACAACTTGCTTTGGAGCTGGTATAATTGATTGGCAATTTTAAACACAAGCAAACTCAAACCCTGTTGGATTGTCTTGTGACATTGGGGTGCTTGAGTACACAAGGAGGTCGAAAATCCGGTTTGTCTTGCTCAGAGGCACCAGACACATTGGCTTGACAGCAAATTTAATCCTCTCCACCTATTAGAAAACACGCCGGCCCCCCCTAATAAGGAAACCTCCGTCGCTTTTTTTTGAATAGGGGGTCCCTGAAATCGGGTGGTCCAAAATAGGGTCACCTGGGAAGAGCTTCAAAGCCAAAAACTCACCCAGGAAATTTTTATACATTATTTATTAAACGCGTATCAAAGATTCAAAAAACCTCCAGATCGAAGGGTCTTCCTTTTCCCCTACAAAAACCTTTATTAGAATAGTGATTCTTCATTGGACTAACTAAAGCTTTCAAAAGGCAATGTCGCTCTGCAACGCGGTTTTGCGTGACCTCGGTGGCAAGTGCGTTTGCGTGAGTCCGTGCCATTGGGGCAAGCAAAACCTGCTGGTGTAGACGCGGCGTGTCATGGTGGATAGACAGGGCGGACAGAGGTGCGCTAGTTACGGTTGTTTTGAACCTAATTTTTTAAAAAAATCCTCCCGAATCGGCAATGTTGGTAGTTTAGTAGCGGCTTGAAAGGGCGGTAATTTACAAACACATATAAGCCGTGCTTAGGGAGGTCCGACGTGACTTTTTAACTGGTGTCCGCTTTTAAGTAGGTACTCGGGATTAGCTCCGTGAATCATGGGGGTTAAATTTCGAGAGGTTATAAAATGCCGTCAAAGAGTGACAATCCCAGGCGTGACTCCCAGTGATCGAGGCTTGGCAGATCTGAACGGCCAAAGTTTCACCGTGGGCTTCACTGTCGTGCTGATAAGTGATGTTCCTGCTTGCTTTTGTGCCACCAGTCAGACAAGCAGCAAGACTTGTGGGCCACTTGTGGGACATGTTTCAAGAAACTACACTGAAACTGTACAAACAGATTGTTTGCCGGCAGGGGCGAGGTGCTGGATATTGCTACCCTGCGATGTCAAAATCAATTAAGGGGCTCAATTCGGTCGCGCTTCGCAAGCCTGCGACTCTCCAGGTGAAAAGGACTTCTGGACATGTTTGCGTGTGTCGCACGGGTTTGACAGCACAAGAGGCAAGTTGACCACATCCTTCTTTGACTTGACTTCCCACAGGGAACAGAATAACCCATGTTTGCCGCCAGACTGGCAACAAAGAGTGTTTGAAGCCACTGCTCAGAGTAGCAAAACTGGTATTGTTTTTTGATCGCTGGAAGGGGACCGCCAAGGTCTGGCTATCCGAATCCTCGGCGCTGAAGGCAGAGAGGGAATGGGGAGAAAAAGCACGATAACAGGTTTGGCAAGATCCGGCCAAGCTAGGAGACATGATTCAGACATGGGTCCAACATAGTCCGACTGCTTTGGCACAAGCATTACTCACATGTTTCAGCACTAATCATTTCAATCATCTCTGGAATGGGTGTGTTAAATCTTCTTAACAAGCTACTATATACCAGGTTTGTGCTGTTCGTGAAACCTTTTTTTCCCACGTGAGAGACACAGTGGACAAGCTGTTCATTGTGCAAGGACTGGCAGTGCAGGTTCGATGCTTGCATATGCTTATTGTATCCATCTCCAACTTGTAGAAACGATGTGAAAAGCTAGTAGAGTAAGCATACTTTGTGGCACAGCAAAACGCGCAGAATGAGCCAAAAGATAGGGAAGTAATATGACACTGTGGACCAAACCTGAAGGCAAGCTCCAATTAAGGAAGTAAAATAGAAAGAAAGAGAACACTATGGAAAGCCGCCATGGTAAGCTCACTGTGAAACCAAATGTTTGGGCTGTTTGGGGCATCCTCGAGATGTTGCTTGTTTTCGGCATGTTGTCGCGTGAACGAGTCAAGGGTGCAGGCACTCTGAGGGAACGACTGTCAGCGCGTTCCCGCAAGGAGCACTTGTTGGGTCCAGAGAGTGATGCCAACGTGCAGATCCAGGCAGTCAAGCTGACCATGTTGGCAGGCTTTGCAGCCTTGGCACCCTAAAACCTATTGAGGTTCGCTTGGCGGCCCCGGCCGGTTGGAAGCCAATTTTCTGTCCTATGTTTGCAATTAATCTTGCTGGCTTGGGCTTGGCCAACTCCGTCTCAGCAGTGCATGGAATCGAGCATCCTGAGTTAATTATATATTATATAGATCAGTCTCTTGGATGGCAGGCTTGGAGCCCCTCAAAAGTCACCAAAGTGCGCGCTGTCACACACCGTCAAGCTGGAAGGAAAAACAACACCCCATCTTCCGTCATTGTGCTTTGGACTCCAGACTTTTCAGAAAGTAATTGCTGTAGGTAATGTGGGCACGTTTTACCGCCTCATGATAAGGTTCCTCCAAGTGGCTCATGGCAGCCATGGTGTGTAGTGACCGTCTACGGTTGAAGGTAGTTGAAGGTAAGTTGCTGAAATGATTTGTGTTTCAGAAGCTTATATGTATATAGGTATGTGAAGGGAAAGGAACAGAGAAGGAATGGTGCAATAGTGGACAAAGAGCAAGCACGGTAAGTTTCCATAAAAATCTAGGAACCAAGTGATTAGCGTGAGCTATCCTGCGTCCAGTAGCTAGTAGCGTCCAGTACCTAAAGTCTTACCAACTAGCTGACCTCTTCCATAATACCCCCCTCTTCTATAATAAGAAACGGTTTGCTTTCAGGTGGTCCAAATCATAGTTTGCGGACACCTGGTGATTGTCAGAGGGCGAATGCTTGACTCTGAGAGACCATCGATTGCTCCAGATTGAAGGCTAGTCCAATACAACCCTGCAGTGATGCTTGGCATTCTGTCATCGTTGGCCTGGGACACACAAGTTACTGCAGTGAATCACACCATCACATCCTTAAAGCATGAATGAAACAATTCCCTGACTTGTCGCTTGACTGGCGGTCTTGCAGAGGAGAAAGTAGGGTGCCCTCTTTGTCGTCAGGTGAATATGAATTCAGAAATGCCTTTTCCTTTGGTTTTTGCACGTTCCAAAAAGTTCAAAAGAGGTTTCGAAGAAAATGCAGAACAGCTTGCAATATCCAAACATGCGCCTCAAAGCCACGCTCGCACCCTCCTTTTGCGAGACCACAATGAAGTTGACAATTTTGTGAATCGGCCGGTGGTGCCCCCTACCCCACCCCCCAATCTTCGTCTTAATGCTGTGAGACCGTTGATAGTGCGGTGAGACGGATGACATGATAACGTTGTGAAACCGATGACATTGCTGTGAAACCGATGACATTTCTGTGAAGCCGCTATCAGTGTTGTGAAACCCTGACGGCTACCTGACAGATAACTGTTATGAAACGGATGACACTGATGATGACCTGATGCCTCCCACGTCGCCCATCTCACCCAATAATTACAATTTGATGATAATGTTGTGATGCTGATGGAAATATTGTGCAACCAAAGGCAATGAATGTTGTGATAACGACTCACGACGATGAAAACAAATCTGACACTGTTCTTTAGAGAAAGGGAATTCCCAAGGGCCGCAAAGGAGCATCAGAACGTACAACCTGAGACCCTTGGTGCTTAAAAGATTGACATGTTGAACATGGCTCATGCCTCTAGTGGTAACTAAAGGCACGATATGTGTTGAAGCCCTGTTTCTTGCATGCAGTATCCAAACAGTTAAACCCCAAATCTTTGGAGCTTCAATATATTTCAATATGGAGATCTTGGCACTGCCCCGACACCTGCATCCTCACATCTGACTCCCATGACCTTTGAGCTGAATGGGTCGGAGTGACCCAGGTCGGTTATGTTCGGTGTTGTCGGTTCGGAATCAGCGGCCATGATACTTTCGAGTGGTGCATAAGCACTCGCATTTTGGAGATAAGAAGCCAAGGCAAACCAGTGTTCAGCATCTTCAGGTCAATACACTCAAACGATGCATCGCTGCATTGCGCGTTCAATTGGATTGCCTTTCAGCCACCGCAGTGTCGTTTTGATGCTGCGGCTGCATGCCGAAGCTCATGCAACGTATAGACGTGCCATACCTTCGCAGGGATGTGAACCGCTCAGCTGCTAGAATGCATGATGTTGAAACAGCTGACAGCAGTTTGAGAAAAAACACACGTTGGATTTCAGATTTCTTTGTTGATAACTGATATGGATACGTATTAGATTAATTATACTATATAGCTGGTTCTCCAGTTTTCCAACTGAAAGCGGGGGAACTGACTTCCAATTTCCACGCGACTCACTTCTGGGATATGTTTGGAGTTTGGAGCAAATCATGCCATGCGCCATGTGCCACACCAAATGAGTCGTTGACATCATCCCAGCCAATCCTGGCACGGAAAATAGGGAATACACCTGAGCACCGTTCAACCAGGTACAGTGCAATCAGCCTCAAGAAACCAAAGCAGTTACATGCCCACCAAGGCAATACTTTTGGATCACTCTAAGAATGTAAGAAAAAACATCTACAAATGGTCTCATGCTAAACAGTGCTCAGGAGCGCGGACACCGATGCAATGCCGAATGGTAGGGTCTGGTAGCGCGCAGAGATTTTCCGCTGCCATGTTGGTGGCAGTTGTCTCTTGATGGCAAACCACGCCATTGCCATGCCATTTGACCTTGCGCCCGACAAAGCCCACTGTGACGCTGTCCAAATAGAAAAGCACCTGCCTACTATAGGCCTGCTCGGCAACATTTGACAACGAGTTATTTGGACAGTGCGCTGATGCCCTCCTCAGATCTAAGGTTTGCTTGATTCAATAGACTTGTTAGGTCCCACAGCCTGGCCAACAAGGTCACAATTTAAGCCGCTACTTGTATGTGTACTTCTGCGGCCACTTTGGCGAAGGATGGTGGGATGGGCCATTGTTGCTTCAGATGCGAATCTGCAAAACCATGTTGATAATGGAGCCGTGCCTTTCTTCTTGCCATCCTGCAGGGCATTGCATCATAATCCACTTATCGGCTTTGGTTTGCTTTGGCACCATGCCAAGGACTGAGGCATTTTACTATCTTGCTCCAAACCAATTCCATTTGTCAGCACCTTGTTCCATGCGGCAAGGGCTTGAGCTCGGACAGAACTAGCAACTGGCGGTTGATGATGGCAATGCTGGGCACCAATGTGCAAACAGCTGCAGTGAACTGCAAGGTCAAGATGCTTTCGTGGAAGGTGGGGCATTCTGAAACCCAGAAGCGGCACGCGGGCGGATAAATCGAAATGTGCTAGGCCAACCAATCATGAATGAACAACAGGAGGATAAACTTGGGCACGTGAGCCCCATAACATTCACAATGCTGGTCGCCTTTGTAACTTCATGCATTTTCATACTATAAATTGCTTTGGCACAGACCTTGACTTACAATTATATTGGGCAGACAGGCGCACATGATGATGAAAGAGTTTGCCGGAGGTACTGGTAAGAAAAAGAAAGGAACAGGCCCCCGCGTTAAAGTCAATGATGACAAAAGAGCCTTTTTTGTTGCAGTTGCAGTGGTTTGAGACCGTTCCAAGATGATGGGACAATCAAAAGTATGTCAAAGGCTTTCATGCTCACCTCAACTGATGTTCACAGGTTTTGATGTATTGCTTATGCAGTCTAGAGTCCAGAATGCCTCCATTTCAAACCATTGCATTGGTCCAAACACTGGGAGATGCTGACAGCGACTGGACCTTTGACACCGCTGCAGAAACCCCTCAAACATGTACATAAATCCGCAGGACACGCCAACCAAATGCCAACAAGTATTGAACCTTCACACTGCAGCCAGCCATGCGAGCCCGCAACTCACATGGGCGCAAAACGTGATGCACAAGCAGTATGCAAGATGCTTTTGGGCTGCAGTTTTTCATGGGGAGGAACTTCGCCGGGGGAAACGGCTGCTAAATGGGTCGGGGCATGGGCAAGAATATGTGGCACGACAAGACACCCATGTTAACGCTTCTCCACTTCTCATTGAATAACCATCGTCAATCGGAACATTTTGGAACAAGCCTTAGTATCAACCGGATATTTTTAAGATTTGTGATGTATGAGTGTGATTCAATTCAAAGGCCCCGATGAACTCATCATCATCAAGGTGGTTGGCCCATCAAGATTTCAACAGTAGCTCCAATCTTTGCTATTTTGTCCTGGTATCAGAACTCCCCCTTGATTTAAAGGGAAGAACATCAACGGCTTAAACGCGTAGGCCCACCATGCGTTCCACAAGCAACTTTGGCACCATCCAGAGTGTGGTGTTGGGAGGCTTTAGACTGGATTTGTTTAGGTCCAGATGCCAAAGCGCCTGGCACGAGGCATGGGCCTGTCAGAGATGTTGAT